TGCGTTGGAGGTCGACTAAGATACTCAGATTCCCCAAATGCCTTTAAACATCCAGTAATTTTACCCAGTCGACACTTAGTGACGGAAATGATTATTAGACATTGTCCTAAAGAACAAGGACACATAGGAAGATCATTAGAAAAAGGGTATGGATATGTGTTTTCTTGTTTGCAAACATGGGCAGTACATATTGAAATGATGTGTAGTTTGATTACTGATTCATTTATAATGGCCTTATTACGTTGTATTGGAAGAAGAAGGAAACCTCCGGAGATTTACAGTGACAGTGCGTCAAGCTTCGTGTGGGCATTTTCTGAGTTAAGGAAGTTTGTGCAACAGTCGGATCAGCAGAAGATAAATAGTGAATTGTCAGCGAGGCTCTCATCCAACAGCAAGGGTGGAGTTTGGGGAAGAGTGACTAAGTCTATACCACGAGTGTTATTGTTGAACACCAGAGAGCAAGTGAAACAGGTCTCCTTGAAGCTTCGGATTAGTCTTTGTTGTTATTAATGTAGGTAGGTCGAGTAGGCGTACTGTTGTAAGTCCTACTCGTTCCTATAGTGTCATATGCTACATAATGAACCATGACCATAGGCATCAAGGCAGCTTGTGTGATATGGAGGGATTTTGGGGGCCGGTGTAAGATCCATTTTGAATGCTTGTGTGTTTGTGAAAATCCCTCCATGTATATACTTGAACTTTGTTCCTATTGATCCTCTTAGTTGTACATTGTTAACTTTTTGGCTACATTTGAATTGTTAATATCTGTATTTTATTATAGTTTTCGTTTTTACTACACCTTCACTAATTCCCCATGTTTCTACCCGAACTGCACTTATGTTGTTTTACTTTATACTAAGTCTGGGCGGCAGCCATATTGATTTGTTCCTCCTGTTGTGTGTGATCTATCCAGCCAGGATAGAATAACGTTGATTTGTTGTGATTGATTTAATTGATTGAACAATCATTGGTTGAATAGCCGGGTGGTAATATTTGTTTAGAACTGTAGGATCCAAACTACGGTTTGGATGTTGAAGAATAGCCGATCGGGGATTTTTAGACACGCGCTAGTTACCCGATTACTTGTTCTGATTTTGACGGGAAAGAGCGCGTGTCTAAAAATCCCCGATCGGCTATTCTTCAACATCCAAACCGTAGTTTGGATCCTACAAATACACATCCATATCTTTTTTCTAGTGATCTTCCTCTTTTGACTAAAAGGAGTCCAAAGTAGTCAACTCCTACCGCTGAGAAGCTATACCAGCCTTGTTGAATTCTACAAGCTGGAAGCGGTGCCATCAATTGTTGTCCTGTATTCATCGTAAACAGTCGGCATGTCACACACTTTCCTATCACTCTCCTAACCGTGCTGGTTCCTTTTATTATCCAATAGCTTTTTCTAATCGTGGCCAGTACTTGGGACGTTCCTGTGTGCCCTTGTTTCTTATGACAATGTCTAACTATCATTTCCGTCACTAAGTGTCGACTGGATAAAATTATTGGATGTTTAAAGGCATTTGGGAAATCTGAGTAACTTAGTCAACCTCCAACGCAGAGTAACCCACCAAGCATTATCTGTGATAAACCCTTCAGATCGTTGTGACTAACTACTTTTCTGCTGTTTTTAAATTCACTAAGTAATTCTCCACACACTTCTTTCTGAACCATCATTAAAATTTTACGCTTAGCGATATCAAGCTCTTTGACCTTTAAACATCCTAGATGAACGGATCCTTCACGACTCGGTGAACGAAGTATCACCAGGAATTCTATGAACCTTCTAAGCCAGGCTACGGCCCTGACTAATTTCAACCACTCGGAATAATAAGAGAGAATAGGTGACGTGTTGTACTTCATACTACTCAAGTTAACCACAGCAGTTTTTCTAAACTCACTATCGTCAGTGATTGTTATACAAAACTCGTCATGCACTAGGTGGGACATTTGAACCAAGACTCAAGATCATTCATGTTTTGTATACCTCTCGAGGTCCAATCAGCTGGATTCTGTGACGACTTTACATAACTCCCTTGTTCAACCCTCGTATACTGGTGCACAACAGCGAGGCGGTTGGCTATATAAGTGCGATATTGGTTCTGTATGGAAGTTTACTTTGCAGAAAAAATTAGGCAGACTTCTCCGTAAGACTTCACTAAGCCTCACGCTTAACATCGCTGCCGCCATCTCAAGCCTCGGTGTAGTGACTTGTTTGATAGGTACTACCCTAGACTTGCTGTACAACAAGATACAGTATGGTGGTTCCTTCAAATAACTGACCCCTGAGTACGCAACTGCTCCATAACCAATCTCTGAAACATCACTGAACAAATGTCGATTCTCTTCTTGATACCCCGAGCTACCGTAACATGACCTATCTGACGCATAAAATTTGCCCAATTTAGCCACGCGGACATGTATGGCTCGTTGAGAGGCTGATCCCAGCCTATTTGTGACTTACATAATTTTTGCAAGAGCAGTTTGGCAGTAAGACAGACTGGAGCAATTAGACCCAGAGGATCGAACAGAGGCCTTTCTGGTGCATCAAAGTAAAACCTAAATACATCTTGTTTGAAATCCCATCCTACGCCCAGAGTTCGATGAGCAGTATCTTAGCTCGTCGACATTTCTATTAAAGACTCTTCTTTACATACATTAGGCAAGATGGTCCTTACTTCCTCCGAGTTGGTGACCCATTTCTTTAGTTTAAAACCTCCTCTACATAATAATTCACTTATCTGCTTAATGAAACCGTTTGCTTGATCACAAATGGAAAAAGATATCAAGCAGTCGTCAACATAGAAGTTATCCTTGACAGCACCTACGACATAACCATCATAACCGTCAGAGAATATTTGGGCCGTCTTATTCAAGGCAAAGTTCGCTCAAAACGGCGGTGATGTGGCACCAACTGGATGAGATGTCATTTGAAATTCGGATGGTTACCTCGGCATGTCTCCCTCCTGCCACCACAGAAATCCTAAAGCTCCTCGATCAAACTCAGGGACCTTCACTTGCATGAACATTTCCTCAACATCTGCAGAGATTGCAACCGCTTCCTTACAAAAACGCAATAATATACACACTAGCTCAGCAGTGGTGTCAGGTCCTTGATAGATCATATCATTTAGGGAAACACCTGCAAACTTGGCTGCACAATCAAGGACCACTCTAAGTTCTTCTGACTTTTTCGGATTTAACACTGCATGATGAGGTAAATACCACCGGGGGCGATAATTAGGTTGCAATTGTATTTCAAGGACCTCCTCCGCATAGCCCTTAGTAAAATTACTTTCAATACTTTTGGTATACCTGATGTGCAGACTGTCATCCTTCAACAACTTACGCCTCAAACTCTGTAATCTACTGTTTGCTACTCCATAATTCTTCACTTTCATATTTGGATTCCTTTTCCATGGTATAGGAACCACAAAATGACCATTGTCAAAGCGCGTGCCCCCTTCCACAATCCTTATAGCCGCCTTGTCTTCTACTGACACTGATTTATCACTTGAGCAAACATCAGAAAACTCTACGTCATAAAGCTTACGTATTTCGTTCTCCAAAGTCTGTACTTTACTGGTATGATTAACAACTCTTTTCTTATATTCTGGGTATGATGCAGGTCCAGAGACCTTCCACCCCAGCAACGTTTTCACAGCGTACGAGTTCTTCCTTCTACCCAACCGCTGGTCTAACACCCAATATGTTTCTGGCACGTCACAACCAATCAACAGTGGAACTTCTTCAGAGTCTAGGCTATCTGTTGGTACATCCCTTAAATGCGGCCACCTAACCAGGTTGCTCACTGCCGACTTCGTTGGCTTATGACCTGGTATATCTGCCATAATCAGGGCTCCTTCAATCGTAACGTGTTCAGACCGATCTAAAGAATATGCCTCAAAAGGAGTCTTCGTGACCGTCATTGATCTATTACCACACACAGTTTCAACCACGCTTGGTCTTCCTTCAGCCCGAGAGACCTCAAACAGTTCGATTTTATCAATGTCACATCAGAACCGTTATCCAGCAAAGCATAACCCACAACTTCGGCATTTCTCAATCTCAGCCGTACGGGAATCATTCCTACTTAGGGATTTAGTAAATCCACAACAATTCTGAGTACTAGGCTTATCATTTACGTCGTTGCTTGTCGAGTCGGTGTGCAGCAGGGAGTGATGTCTCTTCTCACAACTATCAACGTTACAGCGCCTTGTCATCTTACATTCGCTAACCTTATGTCCTAATCTCAGACAGACAAACAGATACCACCGCTTTTTGCGTGAGACCATCGGTCCTGAACTGAGAGCGCTAAAAATTGTGGACATTTATAAATAGCATGGTCACAGGAACAACTCCACATCCCAAAGTTCAGGAAGAGGGGATCTTTGAGTATCTTGAAGCTATGAATTAAAAAGCTGCACGGTGCTATGTAACTATTGCTGAAATTTTTGCCTGCCGATGTCATTTTGCAGAGTATTCAACGAAGAAATGATTCCGATTTCATAACCACGTATGTGAGACCACACCCAGAATACTATATGAAGTTAGCCTTTTCGTATTCTACCAGAGATCAATAAATGTTTATTCGTGTCAAATAAACCAGAACAATTTTGATGACAGGTCTTTCAAATCTTCCCCATGAAGAGCGACCACTGAGTAAATATATTCTCGTTATTGAATAACACTTAAAAATCTTGGATTAACACCACTGAATTTAGTTAATTATTGGGATTTTAAAACGTCTTGTTTTTTTGCTGCTTTCATGATTTATCACTTGTGAATTCGTCAGAAAAGATCAAACAACTTGAGGTGATCCAATTTATCGCACCGAGTGGTCAGCCACTGGAAGGCCTTACAAAAACAAACAATGTTAAGATAATCAGTGAAGAATTTTATGGAAAAGCTGGACCTTCACAGAAATACTGAATGTGAGGATTATTGCAGCTTAAATGACCAACTATTTTTTTTATAACCGAGTGATTCCATGTACTCTAGCCCGCGGTGTTTGAATGGGTTGGGGGTAGTGCATTTGAAAAAAAACACCTTGTTCTGGGATATGGCACTTTGACAACTTTCCCCCTGCTCTTTCCATGGATGCCCTAGGTGCATTGGAAAGAAAGGTGATATATACAGAAGCGTCCAGTATTTATGAAGCTATACGACTCAATCAAAAGGTATTCGCGATTACTTATTTATTAGTGTAGGTTATCTTACTGGATTCGCGTTCGTTTATGGTATATAATACCAGTCACATACATACTGCTATAAATATAGGTGGTAACAGGGCATTTCAGAGAAAGTTTTCTCAAAATCAGGTTGGTAGTTTACGTATATCCAGACATCTTCGAATAAAGGTCCCGTTAGATTTACTTTTATGTAAACTGACAAACTTGGAAAACCCTACAGAGTTAAGAAAGTTACCAATTGTTGTCTACGATGAGTTTATCGATTCTGTATTGAACCTAATACCTGGATGCTTCTTGTTTTCTTTATTGACGCAATTGACTCTAAAATTTCCAGTCGTCTTTCTCCTTAAAGGTGAGTAAAAAAAACAACTTTTAGATTTGTTTTTCTTCAGGTATCTATTGCATAAGTTTCTGGGATATCTGTACACTTTTACTGACTATCATTACGTAGTATAGCCTTTTTCGGTCGTGATATCTAGTAATAAGGTATGAAGAAAAAATTAAACGTGATAAGTACTTGGTTTCTTCGCCTCTTATCAGAAACTACGTCGGTATTTTTTCGGTCCACATTAACACCATTATTGTGTGGCTGAATCTATTCCATCTGGCAATCATAACTCTTGGTAGAGTAGTTTTAAATCAAACATCCGTATTTTCTGTTGCAGATACAGTACCTAAATGCCCAGGTACGGCCAAGAGTGAGGAGAGTCCGCTCTCCCTCTCGAAATGCTCTCACATGGCCACGCGTATATAGCCTCTGCCAGGGAAGTCCTACTCACTGCCTTCTCGTGGTGCGGGTGTTGTTTACGAAAATGAGAGGACGAAAAGCGAATGTCCGGCGCTTTAATCGGATTCCAAACCAATGGTGCACATGGGCTCCAGTATCCTGAGGGAACAAATGGCGTATGAACCAATTGTTGGTCACCGGCTTCCATGGGACTGCATCTCCTGACGTTGCTCCACTGCCTTGTGGATCAGACCTTCAGGTCGAAGGTTCGGGGTGTGGCCCCCTAAGAAAACCACCTGCTTCGGTTTGGGCACCCGAGCAGTATCACGGACCTCACACATATCGAATGAGATTTGTGTGGCGCATATGTATTTGGTGCCTCCTTGTACCAATATCTATGTCTTAAAATAAATAATAAAATAATTTGTATTCTCTCATCCCATTACATAGGAGGATTTTTGGGGTTTCAAGCATCATTTCCAGAATTATGCTGGATTAATACAGAAAAAGTTGCGGGTGAAGATTTTGCTGAATATCACCAGTGTGACTGCCGATTAGAACAAATACTAGATGCCTGCTTAGGTTATTCATCTTCTAGTGACTTTTCTAAAATCTCGGCATCCGAATATGACATTTTATCTGCATTGGCTACGTCCACTCATCCAACTTCTATTTCATCAATATCTTCAATTTCATCGAAGTCTACTCCATCTTCTTTCCAAATTCCATCGAAGGAACAGTTTTCAGGTGGGATTTCCAGAACATTAAGGTATAACCTCTGTTTTGTACCTCCATTTGTTTCTAGATCAGTAAATTTTTACTTTGTTGAAAATTCCGTTCAACCATTAATTTCGATTAACGATCTCATTATAAACAATAATATGGATCTTTTTATTTGTTTATAAAAGCATTTCAGGCCTTATTAAACAGACCAAAATGTCGGCCATTTGTATGCTCTTAATAATACAGATCTTCATCCTCTTTCACTGAAAATTATGCAACATTTGTCTTTTTTTCCATGCAGTCTCTTATTTTTGATAACCATGTCAATTTCTTGTCAACCCAAGCATTTATTTTACGAAAAATTTAGTTGGAGTATAATACTTCAGCTTCTCAAGACTCATTAATGACGCAGCAGTTAGTGTTTTATCTATTATTTTAGTTTGGGCCGGAATCACGTGATTGATTGCATCAAACTAGATCACCAAATTATTGGTTGGGTGTAAGAGATTAGATTAAGTGGCGTATTCGCATCATACGAACCACTACGTTTCAGTTATACATACCTATCTGATAATCGTACTACTCAGGATACCAAAATATTAGGCAATACTAAGTAGTTAAATCATAAATCAACATTTTAGTTTGTCGATTAATGAGTTGAAAACCTCTCTACTCCAGGTTTTGATCGTTATCGTTATTTAATTTAATGAACAAATTAGTCAATATTACTTTTCTACGTAGTAATGGCTCTTCTCCGTTATAGGTTCGGTGTAATCTGATATTTCTGGGGCTCAATGAGATCTAAAGTACTGACAGAGCAGTCGAGTTTGTTGTAAATTCGTTTGTTATTAATAGAATCCTTTCTGGTTTCCATTTCCATCCACTTGATCATATTATATTGTTGTATCTTTTATACTTTTGGTATTTCGATTTTCTTACATCTCTTTTCATATCTTATCAGGGAATTTATCAATCGATTTAGTGAAACCTGCGCCACCAATACTTTTTTCAACTCTGTCTCCATACTGTGTGCAGAAATCGTCTCTAAAGTACTCGCTGCTTTTAAGTTATGTGCATTGATTCCAAAACATTAAAATTCCATAGCATCAGACGTACTAAGTTTTTTTTTGATTTTGAGAATATACGTTAGTTCATTCGAAGAAATTTATTTTCAGTTAACAGTAAATTTATATCAGTCAGGAAACTCAACATCAGTTTTAATCATTTTGACTTCCATGGTTTTAGTTTTATCAACGAAAACAAACAATGCTTTTTATCACTTTATTTCCAAATAATTTTAGTCCTGATGTACCTGTGGATAATCGTTCAAGATCGATTATAGAAATGAAAGTTGATAATACTGGTAGTACATTAACTCGTCCGTCTCCAATTCTGCCACATTTAATATTAGGAAGTCAGGAAGATGCTAATTCTCCAACTATTTGTAAACGTTATGGAATTACTCATATTCTTAATGTATCTCTTGAAGGCAGTATTCCTTCACATATTCCCAGTCAAAATTTTTATCAAATTCCTGTGAACGACAATTATACTGATCTCATGACACCATACTTCAAAGATGCTTTTGCATTTATTGGTAATTCTTTAATTGTTTATGTCTTTATCCTTAATGAAAACTAATTTAAAAAACTATGTTGCTTATTATTTTCTTTGTGTGTACAATTTAACAACTTAGTAACTATTAAAAAAAATGGTAAATGGTATGTTACTAACTGTGGAGCTCTAGTTTATTGGCTTAGGCTTCCAGATATCAGCTGATGTAAGTTGTATGTTTAAACATTGGTCCACCCATTGTGGGTTGGTCTTTGAGTTTCCGAGATACTAACCATGATTATAGTTTCCAATAATCATAACGAATGTAATAATGTAATATATATGTTGAGATCCATAAAATAAGATATTTCTCCTGATTTTCCTTAATATGGTTGTACATTTTTTTGGTCTAATAAGTAAATACCAATATCTTAGCTTACGTTTACCACAACAGTTTGCTTAGAGCTGTTTAAAAGACATACTTTAGCTAGTGAGTAAAACTCGATGCATAGATGTGCCTGGTCCTACGTTGTAGCTGACTGACTGACTGAAAACTCGAAAGCTACTGTCTCATGTTGCTTTCGTCCTTACCATTCTCCTGCTTACTTTGTTATAAGTACTTTCATAAATTTTACAGTAGTTTGTACCTCTTCTCATCCTTAGTGGTTGGTCAATAGAGGTAGTTGGATTTGAGTATTTATTTCGATGTGTAAGATAATACTATTGTGGCAGACAGAATTTATATTCTAAGAGAGCTATAACTTTTTAAACCTTACCTTTTCTTCTGAACCCCTACTCGATCCCGATGACGACACGATATAAGCGATGATAAAGTGAGAAATAATACAGACCCTTATTTAGTCAGATAATTCATTTGAAACACTTTTGATTTCACATATTCTGGAATTCGGATTCCAATATTAAATTCTGCTAAGTTTGGGAAATGGAAGGGTAACCAGTTTATGGTATGTAACCGCAGAGAAAATAGTAGTTGTATTGTGTCAGTATCTGTTGCCGGATCACTGCTACCTAGTTAGGGGTTCTATAAACCGTAGGACTTTGTAAGGCGTTGCTCACAACCAAAGTGACTGGTGATCTGGTCACATTTCTCGTTTTGGACCAGGAATCCGATATATAAAACACTAGTTAAGGAAAACTAAAACATACTACGGAAGGAAATTAGGCTAAGGAAGGATGTGCACTCGGAATTCGGACTTAAATCGGTGGATCGCCGACGCTTGAGCAGTACATAAGTTTTTGATTCGACCTCCCCTCTACCCAGTTCATTAATTGTGTAGATTATTTTAAAGTAAGACTCCTTCGGAGCGACGTGTCCAGAGTCAATTAGATGCTACTGTATTGAACTGGTGATTGTTTTGCGTTCTTTTAAAAACCACACCGGATGATCTGAGGTGCGTTTAGAAAGTGATCGCTTTGTGCTGTCGATGTAACCTGCCCCACAAAAGCAAATAAATTTATAGATGCACATCGATGTGGCACAAAGCGGAAGTTTATCCTTAACGCATCCGTAAATAGTAGGCGGCCTTGAGAAGGCAATGAGGAGCTTAGCTATGTAGAAGGTATTATTCAGAGATTTTGAGATCCATTTATTTAAGATTTCAGCGGCCGTATTTCCTTTAAGTTCGATCATCATAAAACGAGTTTAATTTTGAACCGTTGGTGCTTTCTCAGGATGTTGTATAGATGTTAAGTTCCTATCGAAGAATCTAGGTGGAAAACCATTTTTATGAGTGTCTGTCGAAGTTGAAGTAGTTCGTCATCTATTGTGTCATCAGAACATATTCTCCTAATCCTTGAGGATATAGAGTGAATTAGGTTTCTCTTTCTACTCAGTGGGACCCACCTGTGGAAATCCGTATATTGACCATTCCAGGTCGGTTTTCTATACACAGATCTCTGTAAAGAACCACCCGACTTTTTCAACTGGATATCAAGAACATGAAATTCCTCATTCGCCTCTGCTTCCAATGTGAATTGAGTTAAGCGGCAACGATAATTGAATCGGTTCAAAATCTCATTGAGGTCCATATCTTCTTCACAAACAATGAAGGTATCGTCAATATATCTTATGTAAATGAAATCTCTCAATTATTGGTTGAGGCGTTGACGATACATCAATTCAAACCGGAACTCTGCGTGCAAAAATGATACGTCCAACCTCTCGTCCTTTCGCGGCCCTAATTCCCTTCTCTAGCGTGTTTCAGTTTGTTTTGACTTCGAGAACTAATTATATATGCTACTTATAAAAGGATCAGTTTCAAAGGATACTAGTATAATGCACTGTAACGATATTTTTTCAAAACGATTTATTTGCAGAGTCTGCTAAAGCAGCCCATGGACGAGTTTTGATTCATTGTTCAGCTGGAATATCTCGGTCACCTACTCTAGCAATTGCCTATCTTATGTATTCATGTCGAATGAAAATGCATGAAGCATACGAGTAAGTTTAATTTAGATGCTTTACTTCTATTTTAGTTTGTTGTATACTTGCGTACCTAACATCTTTGTTGAGTTTTAATTTTGTATGCAAAATGATGTCTTAGTTTTTTTGTGCTGACCGAATGATATTATTTTTAAAAAGTTTCGTGACTAACTTAGTGTTATCGAAGTAGTATAGTATTATCTTTCTTCTAAATCTATTTGTACGACATTACTAGTATGATGTGTAGTTTTTTTGTTAATGTATTATAACATTCATCGATTCATACCATCCATTTATTCAGTAGAAATTACTTTTCTACACATTTTATCTCGTAATAATCAGTAATTGTTTGATAGAAAAATAATGTAAAGCTGTAGGTTGCCATTGACAAATTTTACTTGTGATAAAAAGCTAATAATTTGTGCTTTTATCAAGTCATCTTGTAGAGGGCGTCTAAATTTTGTCTTCATTATCGAAATACCAGATGATCTTGATAGGCAAGTTAAAAATAATCACTACTTATGTTGTTAGATGGATTTTATGTGCCTGTATATAGTTATAATAAGTAAATTAAAAGATTCAAATTGTTTCTACAGTAAGAGGAGTGTCGTAGCAGCTTTTATAGATTGATAATGCACACAATTTTGATACAAATACGTATACGTTCCCTTGGTAACCATCAAAATAAGTTGTTCGTGATGTTAACTATGTTGATTACCTTTTAGAAGACGGACCTGTCTCTCAATAATACAGTTTCTATTTCCAGCGCGTGTTGTGCGATGAGATCATTGGTGAATTATTGTTTAAGTTCTGTACGTAGTTTTGCATTGATAGGGTAAGTTAGTTTATAGAATTTGACAACTGCAGCGGTTAAAATTGTTAGCTGTGTTACTCAATGTTGGCTGCTCCTTACACTAAAGTGTTATCTTGGATGGAGTGAAAATGTAAATTTAGGAAAAAATATTTCAATGAGCTAAATTTTTATGGTCGTTCAGTGTTAAAACGCATTATTTTGAAACACCGTTCTTTTTTGCTAGATAGTTAACTTTAAACCTCGGTACATGTCAGGTTGCTTTCCTTCCTCAGTAAAGATATACACTTTTCAACCTTTTTTTGTAAATTAGATATAATATTTACAAAATGTTTGTTATTTTTTTAATAGATAGTATTTACTTTATCTTTGTGCGTAAACTTATCAATTTAGCCACAGTTTGTTTTTTACCTTTGCTGAATTAGAAAAGAATTTCAAATTGTATACAGATTTAACTTTTTTTTTCATTGTATAATACAACCCCATTATGCTTGTCAAGTTAGGAGTAGTTTATGTAATTGTATAATAATGAAGTTAAATTAATTGTCTCCTGTTGCTTAATTGTTAACATTTCTATCGATTTTCTAGTGTTGTTAAATCTGGACGAAACAGCGTTGCTCCTAATTTTAATTTTCTTGGACAGTTGTTGGAGTTTGAGCATCAACTTCATGATTCTGGTTGTAGTGAAGCTTCCATTCCAATCGATAGCACTCCGACTTTTGACAGCCCTGCTAGTTCGTGTTCAATTCTAAGCATGTCCGCAGAGATGCAAAGCTCTTCTATGTTAAAGTCTGGTCTTCATTCGTCATCATTATCACTAAATTTAACTCCAACATCTCCGAAGGTATTATCTAAGAAACGGGAAAGACCAACATACCTTGGTTTGGAGGCTACTTCATCTTTTGCAGGAGTTTTAGGAGGATCTGTTGGAAAAAGTTCGCTACACTGTGGGGGGTCGGTTAGACCAATTCCTGAGTCTGGAATAAGCCCAACTGAAGAAAAACGTAGCAGAGTTTCAGCGTTATTGTCACCTACTCAATCTTCTAATCCATTATTACCGTCTCCATGCACTGGTTTGTCTAAGCTAGAGATATCTTCACCCTTAGAAGAGTATCGATCTTTACTTTCTGTTTCTCGCGCTCCATCGTCTTTTGTTCCTGGACATGTGCTTCCGGGTCCTGAATCTGCCATACAGATGCTTAAATTCAAACCTTTTCTTTCATCTTATACAAGTTTACAAACTTTGAAATTTGAACCATGCTCAACTGTTATGCCACCACATCCCATCCAATTAACCGCTACACTTTCACCAGCTAGTATTCTTAGACTTCGTCGTTCATCATCGACAGTTGGTACCGCAAGACCAACTTTGCTTGCTCAGCGTCGTCTTTCTTCACATGCAAGCGCACCACCGACCCCAAGGCCAGTATCTACCGACGGAAGTCATCCAGTTTATCGTAGTATTTTGCATGCACATGGAGCATTTCGTTTACCAAGTAACTTGCCATCAACTAGTTCATCTAGAGTGAGAGAGCTTAGTCCTTCCACCCCAATATCTCAAGAACCAAAGCTTGAATACGAACAGCTGCAGAAGTGTAATGCGAATGTTGTTGGGAATGAATCATTTAAAAGCCAGGTTTCTCCCACAGGTTGTTCAAAATTTCTTTCATATTGTCGAAAACCTAGTCTACCTGTTAATTTATTGCGCTCACATAGCAATGAAAGCTTAAACAGAAGCTACATAAAAAGTGACAAATTTCAGGGTTGTCTCATTTCATCATCTAGATGTTTCAATACATCTAATCTCAGTCGTAGTGCCCCATCACAACGTGATATAGATCTAGTCTTTTTTGGGGATCAGGGTTATTCGAATAATTCCTCTCATCTCTTTTCTCTACGCAGGTCTTTACCTGTTCCCGGTGAGCTTACTTCATCGTCTCCAATGGATTCAAAGAGATTCGACCCTGGACAGTTGTCAACTAACCTAAAATAACCAATATTGCTACAACCATGCGGTTAATACCAAAAGGTACTAGTGTGGATACTTCTTGTCGACTTCAACAACAATCCTTTGTGCAATCATCTGGTAGTAGCAGTCCATCACCATCGGCTAGCCATAATTCACCACATAACAGTAGTAGTTATAGTCTATTCCCAATTTCTTAAGGAGCATTTTGTCAACAGTATTTCCTTCCTTGCTTTTTTCTACAATCAACATTTAAAAAACTAGTTTGGTTGGTTCATTTTCTTTTTTTGCTAAGTATTTGTAAATAAATTTAGTGCATTTACCGACTAGAACTAAATCTGTTTGTATAACGACTAATATTACTGCGATTAATAACAGCCTTGACTTATTTTGCTATCCAGGCTTTTTAAAGGCTTATGCACAGTGACTGTTTACCACTCTGATTTTAAGCCTTTTATTAGGGTGTTATCGTGCCAATTTGTCTTGTTTTTTTTCAGTGTTCTCTCCCCACTTTGTTTTCCTTCTTTCCTCAATGCTTCACCTATTTATTTTGTCCGAATAATTGATTACATGCATTTTACAACTTTGTTTATACCTTAAACATTCCATCATTTTAAGTACTACAGTAGTATCCTTACTGGCTTAGTTAAAAGTGTTCTGGTTGAACAATTGTTATATATATGTACATTGAAAAATAAACGCACAAATAATTCACTTGTGCCTTACATAATATTTTAATAGTTTACTTGACTGTAAATATCCCTGACATTTTTTCTTTTAATGTGTACACATAGGGAAGAACCAGTTTCTTTTTTTGTTTCTTTTTTAAACTTTTTTTTATTGTACGTCGAACATTTGTCTTATACTACCTACCTACTTATGTACATGTATACTATATATACTGTATTTGTTCTAGGGATTTTTCGAATTAAATCAATTTGTTTTTTACAAATTATCCTCTTTCCTTTTATCTCATACTTTTCGTCTAGAAAATAAAACAGTTGACTGGTATTTTAGTCGATAGATTACTCCTTGTTTGATATCCCAAAAGAGAAACTTGTAGGCCAACTATATTTCAATTGGAAATATTGCGACGAAATTCTCCTTTTTTGGATTTCTCTTAAGTAATTAATAAAATAAAATTGTTGCCTGATGTACTGGTTTGCTATTATAAAAATCATGCAAACCATACCAAAGCTAAATACTTCTTGATAAATATGTTTAATTATGGGGTTGTGGAGATTGTTGAATTTGATTAAAATCGTGAACCGATCTAATTTAGACCACCATTAATAACCTGGAAAGACTGGATGGCCGTTTCATTGTAGTATGAGACACCCCAGCAGTGCATATCCACGATTTTGTGCTCACCAATGGCTAGTTCTGAGAGGAAATTTCCTCGATTTTAGTGATAAGTCGTGCCCAGTGCATGTCGGGTGTGAGTCATTTACCCACCGAAGACAATGAAAGATTGTCATGCAATATCATGGATTGATTGATAATAACACTGTTGGCTGCCGGCTCAGTGTTTCAGGGGTTAAGCACTCGCTCGAGACCAAAGGTCCAAGGTTCGTGTCTCACGTTCAGCGTCGTGGATGTGCACCACCGAGGAGTTCCAGACTAGGACGAAACATCGTCCAGTGCTTCTAAGTTCTCGATAGTGGTCTGACTCAGATTGGTTCGTGATATCAATTGAATCTATTAAGAACTAAGAAAAATAAACATTTCAATTGGAAGGATTGTTAGGTATGGTATAGTTGTTTTGTTGTTGTACAAATTATTGTATATTATAACTAAGTAGTAAATTAAATTCCTAACCCATCTCTTAAATGGACTTAGTACTTACAATGGGTGTGGTGTTGTGTAATTATGGATTTTATTTTTCTCTTGCCAATTTAACTACTTGTAAAAATAAAAGAGTTTGTAAGATGTCATTTTTTATACTGGTTGGAACTAATCATTTTGTCTAATTTATATGATTATGCAAATGAGTGAGTTCTATATCTCACTTCTTAAGCTTCTGTCATCATGTGAACTTTGGAAGCTTTTTTGGTATAATTTGAAGAGTTATGTGGAGAAATACTGTGTCACTCAATAACACAAGTTCAGAGTGTCTTTTGTACATTTGACTAGCAAAAATAGTTCGAAAACTGCAAAGAAAAGTTGTTCAGCTCGTAACCCTATTCGGAACTGCATAATTGTGTCAAAAGCAATAATGTCACATCTTCATTCTTCCCTTATGTGTCAAACAGAAAACATAGGCAATATGATATTAGTTTGAAATGTTCTTATCTTAATTCATACATTAATAGGTTTTTTGTTGGGTGCTTAGTTTGCAAATATCATGTCATCTCTAAAATTAATGGTAGATTACTTATGATGAAACACCACACAGAATAACTTATGTTCCTATTGACTTAATCCAAACTTACGTCGTTACACAAAGCTACTGACTATTATGGTGTAGTCATCAAAAACACGTCTAGTGAGATATGCGAAATTTAGCTAGATTGCTATTCAGTGCATATTCATAGTCTTGTTAGTAAGCATAATTTCGACAAGTGAGTAGCATATATATATATCATTGAAAATATCAAATTGTTTATCATGTTCAACTGAGAAATGAATTTTGTCTAGATAAGTACTAGTCATTTATGGTGTATAATTGTTACAGAATTCTTTTTGTTTGCACGCGTAGATTCATTTAATTATTTCCACACCGAAATATCTATCCAGTTCTTCTAGTCCTGCACTGCATACCTGAAATATAATGATAAATTTTTGTTGGTACATCATTGTTTAAAGTCATAGTATTTCAAATAAATCTGGATAGTACTTCTTTACGATATTATACATTCGAGTGGAAATCTTTATTTCTTAAAACATTATGTTACATGCACAATATATATGAGCATAAATTCATCTAACCTAACTCCCAGTTATCTCATTATCAATAACCTTAGCTTTAAATATTGAAAATACTAAAAATAAAGTTGACAAATTCCTAAAAATTATCTTCATTACAGATGAAACGGTAAATTTTCACAACATACTCATCTTCATTTCAGAAGTTAAACATCGTTTTTTTTACTAGGATAAATGCCTGGATGTACCTATATAAGTGTGATTAGTTTCAAGGTTTAATGAAATTGTTCAGAGGAGCAAAAGATCTTTTTTAATAATGTCATCCATCGGTGATAACGGTTATGTAGACTATACAACTAATAATAAATAAAAGAAATAGTTGTAAGTATTGTGATAAGGGAGGTTGAAATTTGGAGGAAAAACTTATTAAAGAAGACGACCATTGTAATCGAAAATTATACAACACTATAAGGTGAAATGTGTAAATAATCGGAAAGTAGATATCCAAGTAATAAAGAAGAGATTTGAATGTCGGAGGTAGTTTACTAAATCTTCCCTGACCACGGAAAGAATAAATATATTACATTGTTCTACGAATTCTGGGTTCTATAAGGTTTAGGAACATATGATAGTGTTTTGACCGGTTTCAAGCAGTTTCCCCTTGAATACTGCTACGTCATCTAATATGTATTTCATATTCTTTCGAAAAAAATATTGTACTATCATGTGAACATCAGGAAAGTGTACATATCTCACCCATTATACAGAAGTATTTAATAGGAATTCAATAAAAACACTTACTTTAATCGGTGGATCTTTTAAAGGGTTTCCACCAACTGTTGTACTTGGTGATAATAATGGTGACCATATCAATCCACGTAGTTCAACAATTGATTGTGGCAAACTTTCCAGTCTGTTATCACCCAACCATAAACATCTTATATTTCGTAATTCACCAATATCCTCTGGTAAACTGGTCAAACGATTGTCGAATAATAATAAACTTTCTAAATTGATTAATTCAGTTATAGATGATGGTAAAGTTTCCAAATGATTACTACTTAAATCTAAGAACTCCAACTTCGTTAATTTCAATATTGGTTTAGGAAATTCAGCGAACTGTGGTTATTAGTTTTTTTTAAGTTAGGTAAAAAAAAACAAGGAGGAGTTAATTTAACAAAATACATAGTTTAAAGCTTTTTTTATGGCTTGCAATAATAAAATAGTCGGAAGTTTAGGCTACACTGTGAAAAGTGATTGGTTGCTTAATGACCATTGGTATTCCTAATCAAGTATTTCTCTACCCTAGCAGAAATGCCCTCCGAATGCGTGTGTTCAGCATTCTTTTCTTAAAATACTGGAAATCCAAAGAAAATGGACTCAAGTAATTAGTCACCCGACGAGAAATAACTTAAAAATACTTGTGCGAAGAATACTATCTTCACGATATAGATTATGATCATAATATTACCGTCCATTACCCCTCGAACACTGCCAACGAAGAGAGATTCTATGTGCTACTTTGTATTTGAAGGATAACTCCTATCCAATCTATGTTGCGTTACATTTTTTGTTACAAAAATAATAGTTCCCTTACAGTATAATATGCGAATAGTAAATGATTCTAACTTGTTATAATATTATTTATTTGTGATTTATACTGACAGTCATCATGCAAATGTAAAGGTTACCAAGTTCAGTTTTATTGACAATCATTATCTGAACTCATTATAATTCGTTACTACATCAATCAATCAGTTTTTTTAAAAATTATATACATGATAAAAACAAGTTATGATATCAGAACGAAGATTGAAGGAATGGTAACTCCGACAACTAATTTATGTGTTGCTATTTATATTCGTATTGTATAATTACTGAGTAACTAGATTATCATGTCTATGTATTCTGTTTATCAAAAGCTTTTTGTTAACTCATTAACTACTATCACACGACTTACTATTCCCGATTTGTTGCCTGTCTATAACTTACAGTCTTCCCTATTCATAGCCACTTTTGGCTTTTTTTTAATGTATAATAATTATTATTCATTTTATGGTGTGAGTAGGTCCGGTATATCTGTATGCAAACCACATCTGTTTACAATATAAATGTTGTAGAGGCTGATTGCTAACTTTTGGGAATAGAGAGAAGCTTGCGAATAACCGATCAACAAGAACTTATCTGCGTCGGCTCATGATTAGTAGTACTAGTTGGGCGTGTAGTTGGTCGATTTGGAACACTAGGCTAGAAAAACGGTTTTAACACATTGAAGTATTGATTATTTGAATGATGTGTCATCATATTTTAAGTGGGTAATAAAAAACCAATTAACATTATTAGTTTTAAAGTATAGATAGATTCAATTAATAATTAGTGTGAAGCGTCGGTAACTGATTGTTTACCTGTTTTTTTTTTCAGTCTAGTTTTAACGCACACGATCGACTTTTTTACTTAGAATGGTATACAGACATATAATAGACCTTTCGATAGAACATTAGTTTTACGAAAATGCTTTTAGCACATTATCAAATTTTAAAAAAACATTGGATGGGAATTATGTTGTAGAAATATTGTGATAGTTTGAACTCTAAGAAGATTTTTACGCATGATCCATTGCTTGATTATGCAAGGTAAACGACAAGAAAGTATGAATTCTTTGTGGTTTATTTACTCATACTATTCACAAGTTCAAAGAAGTTCACGTTGTTTCTGAAACTAAATATGACATTATGAATGATTAAAGTTCGATGTATCAACGTTAAACTACCCGAAATAGGAATAAAATATTTCACAGTTTATCAACGGAAATTATGAGAAATTTATAAGCATTAACAAAATTATTTGTTTGCCAATTTTAGATAGAAATAACTACACAAGTGATAATATATTCAATTGTCCCTGAAGATTAGAAGTGTGTATAATTTTTTAAAACTCCCTCTTCTGTCTGATTTTATTATGTGTTTAGCGATAAAATTTATTTTATTTATTTATCAAAACACAAATATTGGTACAAGAAGGCACCAAATAGATATGCTCCACATAAATCATTCGGTTTGTATGAGGGCTGCCCAGACCGAAGCAGGTGATTTTCTTAGGGAGCCACACCCGGAGCCTTCGACCTAAAGATCTGATCCACTAGGCAGTGGAGCAACGTCAGGAGATGCAGTCCCATGGTAGCCAGTGACCGACAATAGGTTCATTCACATTTTGTCCCCTCAGGATTCTTAAGCCCATACCCTGTCCTGGGTGGACCCTCCGTGTCCACCAACCCAGTTAGAGCCCCGAACATTCGCTTTTCGTCCTCTCAACTTCGTAAACGACGCCCCCGGTGCGAGGAGGCAGTGAGTAGGACTTCCCTAGCAGTGGCTGTATGCGTGTGGCCGCATGAGAGCACTTCGAGAGGGAGAGCTGACTCTCCCCACCCTCGGCCGTACCAGGGCATCTGGGGGCAAGTAGCGATAAAATTGACCATGCAAAAGCAATATACCTTTACCGAAAATGGCTAATAGAAAATGTACCTGATATTTATTATCTACTGAAATTAATTTCAGCACCATTGAGGATTAGATGACTGTAATGAAAAGTTTCATACTAGGAATGCATATTTGTAAAATGCTCCCTTATTTACTAAACCCTATTAAGTTATTCCTTTCAATCGCTTATCACTTTGTTAACAACGATCAATATTTTTTGGCCGGATCAGTAATAATATCACACATGGTAAATGTTTATTTATATTTAGGGAAATAACCTTGTAAATTTAATTAGTCTAGTAATGGTCTAGCACCTGCAAGTGTATCTCATTCCACAAGTATATTTTAGGAACTTTAAATGTTTAACCATCTTTATTAGTGAATCCCCTAAGTAAAACCACCCACTTGCTGTCAATATGTTAACGCCGCCCCTAGCAAGTTTAATTTGAATAACATAAACAGTATATCACTGTGTCACATGACACACGCATTTAGGTAGACCTGATTCATATATTTTGGTAATTACTGCTTTGTTTTTCCGTGCTCTGTGTTTTCGTTTTAATTTCTCTAGTTGTAGATAATTATTATTAATTCGATCTGGCACACAAATTGACCTTAATTACTCCGTTAATAAATCAACAGGATGTCCATTTAAGAAATATTAAAAATTCCCGGCTGATGCATTGGATCGCTGTAATACGTGTACTACCTAAACACTCACTGAACTAGTACACTTAAAACTTTCTTTTATCACATGTTTGTTCTGCACGTCTAACGTTACTGTTTATATCAAATTGGTCATGCCTGTAAACTGGCGTGAACTCTGTAATTATAATTTTCAGAATATAAATTATTATTATTAACTGTTTTAATGACATTTCAATGGACCATAACCATTATTTGAAACCAAAGAATTACACACCAAACAAAGATGAAACAAGTATAGATTTTTAATAGTAAAAGCTAAATTATCACTGTTGTTATATAATTTAATTAATTTAATAATTCGAATTAAATTTGATGATATAAATAAATGTTCAATTAATTGTTCTAATATGATAACTGATAATATCCAGGCCATCTAATATTAAATACATAAGTCATCTATCAATGACTGATATTATTTTAAATGATCAATTATTTTGTGACGTGAAAAATAAAACTATTATTTACAATAAGTAGTAGTAATAGTAGTAGTCTAGGGTGTTCTCCTAATAGTAGACTAGGATTGATACATGAGTCATTAGTTGATCATTTGAATTTTTTTAATTTTTATTATGTCTACATAATAAATTTAATTTTCATTAAAATACTAAATTAAATTTTCTCATATGTTAACCAGAGTGTAATTATAAACTGTTATAGGTTATCTAGTTAAATGATATTTTTCATTATGTACTTAAACTGAAAAAAAATGAATTGAAATTAAAGAATAGTGGACAATTATTTTATCTTTAGGTAGGACTTTAAATACAAGTTTTAAAGTACTTACAGTATGTACATTATTTTTAGGGTCATGGATACACATCCTATAGAGATGATAGTTTGGTAATGACAGTGATAACTGCTTCATTTCAAAGAAAATTGATTCTATAATCCACCAATTTTATTAGAAATTCATAAATTCATCTCAAAAGTAGACATTAGTAATCAAAGGTTAATATTTTGTTAGATAGATCCTGAAACAGCAGAGGTTTTGTGGTTATTTTAGAAATTTCACTTAACCACCGTTCGATGCCAGCTCAGTGGTCTAGTTGGTTAAACGCCTGGCGCGAGACTGATAGGTCCTAGGTTCGAATTTCACGGAGTGCGGGACCGTGGATGCGCACTGCTGAGGAGTCCCATACTAGGACGAAACGGCCGTCCAGTGCTTCCAGGTTTTCCATGATGGTCTAGTTTCAACTGAGATCCTGAAACATTCAATCTTAATTTTTGCTTTACGTGATATTTTCATGATGTTTTAGTTTTACATTTTTTAGAATACGTTGATTGTGCAACTGAAATTCAAGAAGATTTTTCATCTTATTTGGGACTCATCAGTGGGATGAGCTTATATTCCAGTGTTTATTATCACAATAAGACCAGAACTCAGTACGTTTAATTTCAAACACCAAAGCATTAACAAATGAGGTACTGAGTCTAGATAAATACCAACTTGTTCAATAACTACAGTGTTTTTATATCATTATTCGTCAAGTTAAATAAAATATTAATCGTAATTGTAGTTATTATCTCCTGTTATTAGCAAAATATATATTAAAAATTCCAATAGCAACTAGTGAATGACCTAGATTTAAAGCTTTTTTCAAATGCAATCCAGCCATTTCTTATCCTGGTTACTTTATTTTAATAATCGTAGTAACAGTAATACTAGTGGTAGTAGTAAATAGTATGAAAATAAATAGTTAAATATACAGAACCACTCAACATAAAATGTTATATTTAAAAAAACCTTGTTATTACTAAATTATTCGCCAAATGTAGACTTTTCATTTGCTTTAATCTCTCCATTGATGTAGGTAGACTTTTCAGTTGATTATTTGATGCAGATAATTTTTCTAATTGTGTTAATGAACCAATTTCAGATGGTAGACTATGCAATTCATTTGTATCCAATATTAATATTCTAAGATTAATCAAATAACCTGAAATGATGAAAACCCATATATATGAATATTTATAATACTGATTAATTAGAATAAATAATCCACTATTGTTTATAAATATCAATACCAAGGTTGAACTTGATAGTTTCAGGTAATTTTTTTGTAAAATTCGAATACATATTGACTTATTGTATAATTATCATATTTACCAGATAAGTCACAAAAGATGGTACGATATTTGATTTTTTTAAAAAGTTAACTGAAAGTGAGTTACTAAGAGATATAAGGAACAGAAATGAAAAATGATTGGTTAACTGTGACCTTCATTTTCAATCTTGTTTATTCATTCATTGTCTGACAAAAACATTCTATCCTGACTAAATGTTTTAAAGGTATTACTTAAAAGCCATGTATATATATTCTGATAAATATCCACTCAGAATATATGATATTAGGTTTTGTAAATAAATTATTATTTCAATCAATTTAGTCATGATACTAATCTTATCAATCACTTGTGCTGTTATACAGTTTTAGATTGTAAATTCCTATAAATCATTAAAATAGGATATGATTAGAACATTCCATTGTTTTTAGCAGAAATGTTATTTGTCTAGATTGTTGCATTTATATAGGTTTAAAAAATCTTACTAGTACAGATAACTTACTGTTTTATTTAGTTATACGTCATTTAAACCTTTGTCCGAATAACTGACATATTATCCATGAACCTGACTCCAAAGTCTAAATTATTCTAAGTATAGATTAATAAGTCACTTAACTATAAACCACCAACGCTTTAATCTATAGATTATTCGCACGCTAGTGTTTGAAGGAATTCGATTATACACAGAAACTTTTACATGTTCGGCATATTCGTCTGCTTAATAGTAAACAGATATAATCACTATTTGTTCTAATTCAAGACTAACTACAGTTATAAGTCTTATAAATAAGATGTAGTCATTTCATTTATATCCTACTGGTTCGTGTTCAGTAACTATTTTAATAGTGTTTAAAATCTATTTATTTTTCTAACTTTATAAATCCAAAGAGTAAGCTGCTAATAGTAGCTATCATTCTATATTGTACCAAAATATAATATTGAATAAAGCCATTAATAATAATAATAGTAATAATAAGAATCACTAGAATTTCTAAAAAAAAGTTATCACCTATAATTTGTCTGGTTAGACATCAATTTCATTAAGTTAGTTTGTAAATTGTATAATAATGAAACATATTTAATTTTTATATTAATAAACTAAAATTAGATTATTAGGATGGAAACTTTATGAAAATTTTTCATTTTGAATAATGCTTATATCACGAACTGAATAGAGTTAACTGCTGAGGAGTTCCGTAATGGTACGAAATAGTGATCCACAACTCCCTGGTCAGCTAAGTTATTTTATTACTTGAAAACTATCATATCTCACTAAACTACCTAATATTTTAATACATTTTTTGTCGGTTGTTTGAATCTCCCCATTTACGTTTAGGACTGAAATTGATCAGTCTTTTATTGGTATATGTGCATCCGGTGCGGATTTTCTCCATATTGTCTTAAATCACAAACGTTATAAACAAAGATGGATGGTGGCTGGCAGTAAAATCCAGGACGTGCGTTTCGTCCTACTTGGGACTTGTCAGCTGGATGTACCTGCATTTCAGAGTTGAAGTTCACTTCGGAACTCGAACCCATTGCCGTTCGCTTCTAGAGATTGATCAATTGCAGCCCTAAATATCCATGGAAAGATTCAAACAACTAATCGAAATCGAATGAAACTTCACCCGATTGGGCAAGCTAATGGCTACCTGGACTCAGTAGCTAAGTAGATAATGTGATGGCGTTTGAAATGAACGGTAGTGGGTTCGAGTCTCCGAGTGAACATCAACGCTAAGATGGAAGCACATCGTTCTGACGAGTCCCAACTGGGATGAAACACGCGTCTTGGAATCCACTACCAGGCATCATACAATCTGCTTATGATAAACTAATATTTTACCAAATATTTAAATATACACATTTGTACCACTTAGTCACACATTTAATCTATCTCTGTAGCTCCAAACAAGAAAAAGATTAACGATTGATTATTAAATTATGACGTACATGAATAGGATCAGAATGTTATATCTATTTAATAGATTCAACTATTTTAACATTATTGTTTCGTAGTTAATTGTGATGTCAGTCATTTTTATTATTTTGATAACTAATATCAAACGATGTGAAGAAAGTTTCAGTCCTAAAATAGGATTAGACAATGAATCAGATTGATGATTTATTACAGGAAGCTGGGGTTTTTTCATTATTAAAGGGAACCTTAAAAAATAATAATAAATCATGTATAAACATGATTCAGATTGTGTTTTTGTTAGTCAGAAAATATTTGACAAATATAATAATGTTTTTAACGCATATTGTTAAGAACCGAGAAATATAATTGACTTTATTTATTATTATTTTGTTGTAGTTAATCTACTTCACAGACTAATATCAACCGGTGAACCATTTGAGATCTTTCAGCAGTGGAAATATCCTACCCTACTAGCAATTGAGATCAAAATATTTAGGTTTCGTACCGAACATGCTACCTTTAAGTAACTGCATTGTATTATCTTAAGTTTCATTCAGTTTACAATATCATATAACTGTTCGACTTCAAATTTCCACAAAACAATCATAGTAAATAAATCAAAATTTGTTGAATAAAAAGAAAGTGACTGAATAGTTTTTCATTTAAAAATAGGCAAAAATACAAATAAATATTCTAATCATTCAATAAATCAACGCACGAGATATGGAACAAATAACTAAACAGACATAATAAGTCTGTTAATTAGAACTGAAAAAAAATGAATTATTGACAAAAACTATTTATTGTCTAATGAATAGAGTATTGTAAACAACGTTGGAAGCAACTTTTCAGAAACCTCTCTTCACGAAAAATTACTTAAACATCGTGTATATATATGAATATACAAGTGATTAAAATGGTGATTATCTTAATAATTGCTTTAGACATGATTCCTCATAGCTTGTGTACAGTAACATGTTTGTTTATAACATTAATACATTTAATACCTGAGCGATTACCTGATGATCTGTTTGATGCATCAATTATCTCAGGAATATGTTCAATAGAATTTATACTGTCATTGATTGTTCTGAATGTAAAAAGGTCTTTACTAAAAAAATCCCTAAAAAGATCTTATAAAGACCGTCTAGCCCATTGTATTTGATTAATATGAGATTAATATAAGATCATTTAATTTAGTCCATTTTCATTAGAACATTTTGTAGGCAGTGGAATCGAAATATTCATTAAAAAAAATATTCAAGTTGGTCTATTTGAATATGACAGCTACTGTTACTGGTCAATTAAGTAAGAATTATATTTGCTCCACATGCTTTACAACTTATAAATCATTTATTATTCTGGATCTAGAACAATGTTCAAAATTTAATCTCCTGTAGACATTGATCTGGTGATATCTAGCTATTAATTTATTGCAAAAAGAAAGAATTATTTCAAAGGTGCATTTAAAGATATAATCATTACTACTACTAATGTAACGAAGGAAAAGACAGATGGGAGCAACCAATTATAGTTTAATACAAAATCATAGAGTTCTTTCGTCAGATGTGAAAACCATGCATTCAATATTTTATTTGCAAATCCTCCATCGATTGTCTCAAACTTCACTGTTCCTTCATTATCATAACAATAAAAAAGCATATGAAACATTGGATATATTTTTGCAACCGATCCCTAGAAAGTTTTCAGTAATTGGGAAACATTATGGTTTTTTTAATCTTATTTCTACCAGGTTTTTAGTAGTTTTAATAATCTTCCAGAGTGAGAGTTCATGGATGTGCACTTCTGAGGAGTCCCATAGTAGGACGAAACAGCTGTCTAATGCTTCCAGATTTTCCATGGTAGTTTAGCTTTAATCGACTCGTAAATTCAACTATTAAATCTTTTAATGTTTATTATATTTTGGAATGGATGATGACCATTTTATAAATTCAAATTTTTGTCATATTCTTAATACGTGTTATAATAATAGTTTAGTGTAACTTGAAATAACATTGACATGTTTATGTCATGTGCATTTTTTAGAATATTGACTGAATCCTATTGAGTGAATGTTCAGTGAAGTTTTTAAATTAATTGACTTAAAATCACAATGTATTTTGTGTAATTGGCTTGAAAATCTAACTTCAGTGAAATTAATCTCAGCATAGATTCAAACCTGTTCCATCTGTCATCAACTGATCAACGGAATTCGATCAGATTATTATTATAAAAAAATATAAATTAAATTGAACAGTTGAAGGAAAATGCATAGAAGCTATCATAAAGATGCTTAGTAATCAACACTTGTTTAGACTATTAAAAGGATTTAGTTCAACAAAATGTCCGAAAAAATCATTTCATTCATAAATCACCAGAAGACTGTTATATTCTACACATGTTAGTTGTTTGTTATCAGTGAATAGCTTAAATCAACATTGCCAACTTTTGATTCTATGGATGTTTAAAAAATTCTCGTAAATTTCAATTAATAATTATAGCAGATTTTATCGATGCACCAAAAATAGACCTGACTAAATTTCAGAGTCATCGTTAACTATGGTTAAATTCATGATGTGAACTGTCCTAATCATTAGTAAACTAAATGTATTGAGAAAAATGAGAATTTAGTTGTGATAACAGAAAATGAATAACTTCCATTATTACAAAGTTTTTGGTAGTCAGAATGTTAATGATTACTTTTGTCAAAATTTAATTTCAAACGACAAAACATATATACGTTAAATCGTCGAGTTAATGTAAAATTTAAGCCTCCTGACAGTCACAGTAGAACATATGAACTTATTGTATGATAGTTACGTAATGTATTTAAAGACCACATGCATCAATTACCTATTAATACTGAGGCTCAAGTATACTGATAGCATACATACACACGTTTGACCTTATAATTATTCTAACAATTTCAGATCAGTATGGTTTCTAAATCTGAAA